GCCGTGCCAGGAAATACAGGGACTCAGCACCCAAAGTGCTGGCCGCTGCAGTTGGGAGAGGCGGCTTGCTGCCACCGCTGACCGTGCCTGGCCAGTCCCACCCACCCGGTAGCATGTCCGGCAGCATGTCCTGCTGTGAGCAGCCCCGTGTGGGAGGATAAATGTCTGGGCTTTTTCTCTGGCTGTGGTCTGTTTTGAGGCTTATATCAGCAGAAAAGTGCATATGTGCAGTGAGGCCATTTTGCGTGGTACCTGAGCCCTGGGCTGGGTGGAGGCACCTGAGGATCGGTAGCGCAGGTGCGGTGGTGGGCGGTGGGGGTGAGGATGTACCCAAAGGTAGTGGGATCTGGGTCCCTCCTGTCCACGCCTGCTCACTGCGAGAATCTGGGTAAAAATGAGAGAAAAAGACGCTAGAAGACAGAAGAAAAGCTGGTGGTGTTAATCCAAGGGCAGCCACAGATGAAAGAAATGGGGGGGCGGGGCTGGGAAGCAGGGGACACAGGAACAGAGAAAGAGCTGAGAGGAATCACCCAGATGTCCACGTGACTAAGTTCAAGTGTGGCCAGGGAGAACGGGAGGGGAAGGGAGAAGCGGTGCAGGAGGAAAACCAGAAAAGACGAGAAGAGGAGAAAGGCGACCCAAGAGGGAAGGAGGGACGAGACAGCGGAGGGAGCCCCATCTGCTCCCGAGGGCCCCAGGCCCAGACTCTGCAGCTGCTCTCGCCTCAGCCGTGTCCGTGCGCGACAGCTGGTGGGGCAGGACCCTCCCCCAGCGTGGCCGGCCGTCCGGTCACCCCCCTGCCACAGGCTGGCCGCCACCCAGGCCCAGCTCAGGCCACCGGTAGGGTGACCCAGTCTGAGGCAGGGGCCCGGAAGGCCAGCGGGTGCCACCTTGCAGAATCCCCACAGAGAAGGCATCGCTGTCCTCAGACAGACGTGGACTGACTACGCACACAGGCACCCTTGTAAGCCCCACAGCCACCCAGCACGCAGACCTGTGTCCCACGTGTCCCTTCACATGTCCCTACACATCCTGTAGACACCCCTGTCCAGATGACGGGAGGCAGGGGCCACTCACACACAGCACAGTCGGTCCCGGCCCTCAAAGTCCCGACACGCTCGAGGTTCCTGCCTCTGCAGCCTTCCTTTCTGCCCTTGAACGTGCTGCATGGGATCTTCCGGACCAGCTGCCCCGGCCAGGTGGGTCAGCTGGGCTCCAGCAGCCTGAGCCCTGAAAGGCACGGTCTGGACTCCGGTGCCAAAGTGGAGCACAGCCCACAGCGCCTTCCTGCAAACCCAGCTCCACCACGGCAGGCCCCACGCAGTGGGTGCGAGCAGTTGGGGGCGCCTGCGTGTCTGTGGCCATGCACCTGAGGGGTGTCTCCCTGTCTTGTGTCTCTGAGGGTCGCAAGGCACCCAGCAAGTCCAGAGGCCAGTGTGCTGAGCCAAGCGACAGGTCTCCAGGGGTGACGTGGGAACCTCTGGGTGTCAAGAAAAGTCCCCCAGGAGCCCTTTCCATCCTCCACCAGCTCAAATGCCACCTCCTCCTTGAAGCCTCCCTGAGACTCAGCTGTGCTCCCACAGCTCCTGGACTGAACCTGACACTTTAATTGGCTTATTACCAGTGATTTCACTCATGCACGCAAAGTATTTGACACAGTCACCACCTGCTGTGGCGGACAGACCTCTGATTGATGTACAGGCCTTTGCGAGATCCCCTCACTCTGAATGTGGGAAGGGTCTATGACTCTCTGGAGCTCTTGGAATATTTTAAACCCCCTCCTTCTCCAAGATCTTCGAGAATTTCATTCTGATGAACAATTCCCAGCCCCATCACTCAGGACAATGGTCCAAAGCAACATCGCTAAGTAACAGCACAGCACCGCATGTCAAACCTGGACAGCAGGGGGCGCACTTCTCTCTAACTGGCCTCCTCTGGAGACAGGCTCCCTCCTCCGCCACCAACCTCAGTCCCTAGCACATACTAGGGCCGCCATCAGTGTATATTGATGGAAGAATAAAGGACTGATGGCCTGGCCAGTGTGTCTCGGTTGGTTGGAGCGTTGTCCCACAACCAAGAGGCTGCAGGTTCGATTCCCAGCCAAGGCATATACCTGGGTTGTGGGTCGATCCTGGGTTGGAGGAGGCTGCCAATCAATGCTTCCCTCTTGCATGGATATTTCTCTCTCTCCTTTCCTCTCTCCCTAAAATCAATTTTTAAAAAAGTCCTCAGGTGAGGATAAAAAATATAAAATAAAATACAATAAAAATAAAAGACCAATGAAATAGCGCACGAACCAGAAAGACTGTTTTCCGGGAACCTGTGCGCCGAGGGGTGTGGCCTTCAGGGGGTGCAGGGCGGGGCGGGGAGGGGCCAGGCTGTTCTGCGGGCGGGAGCACTACACTGGACCACGGTGGGGGGGGGGGGTGGCGGGCCGTCCTGAGGGGCCTGCTGCTTCAGCGAAGTTGTTGCTAGTGGGGACCCGAGTGTCCTTCCCTGGTAGGAGGGAGGTGCTGTGGGCCTCAGGTTAAAGAGTGCCATCCCCATCCCCACTGTCTCTCAAGCGGTGACAGCAGGAAAGGGCCCAGGGAGGCTCCAGCTGGTTTGATGGCACAGGTTCGAATCCACCTTTGGGACACGAGGAACCTGGGCACGGAGCAGGCTGTCCACGGCAGGCAGCCCACGAGCTGGGGGTCTCCTCACAGAGTGGGATTCGAACCCACTGCTGGGGCATGAGGGGCGGCTCTGCCTGCAGCCTCCCCGTAGACCCCCACCTCCAAGTCCATCCAGGAGAGGACAGAGCCTGTCACCTCCCAGTGGGAAACGCAAGCCTGTCCTTGGGAAGAGGTGACAGACAAGTTCCTGCTGAGCTCCAGGGGCTGGTGTGTCCTGTCCTGCCTCAGCTTTTGTGGGGACGGGAGCTGGGGTGGGAGGGGGCTTGGGAGGGCGGGGGTGGGGTGGGAGGCAGCCAAGGCCCCGAAGGACGGGACAGCTTTCCCTCCTCCTGGTTTGGGGCTGGAGCTCCACTCAGGACAGAAGCGGGGAGGGGGCTGCTCTCAGCCCGTCCTGACACTCCCACTAACCAGAGAGAAAAATAAAGGCTCCCCCCATCCTTCCGTCCAGCTTCTCTCTGCAAAGGAAACCAAACGGCCCACTTACTTTTATCGCTCACAGATTTCCTGGGAAATGGGCTATTAGTTCCCCTAATGGGGAGATAACGGGCTCATCCCCCTTGCAAATGGAACGGCCCCAGAACCAAGGTGCGCAGGGCCAGTGGGAGGCTCTTCTGCCAGGAGGACGCAGGGCCAGGCGGCAGGCAGGCGGGGGCCAGGACCCTTTGGGGAACCCGGGGGCGGGCTGGGGCTCCCACGGCCTGGCTGCAGCCACCCAGGACAGAGTCCATCCTGCGCCAGGAAAGGTCACTTCTGTCCTCGGACACCCCGACTGTCCTCTCCTCTTGGCTGATGGGGCAGGAGATGGTCCTTAGGTGACCGAGGGCGTCTCTCACTCTGGGAGGGGGGAGGACCGCTGCTAAGCAGGCTCGCAGAGCCAGAGAGAGGGCTCCCGGGTCTCTCCCGGCCTCTGTCGCTGGTCTCACCCCAGAAGACACCGCACAGTCAGTCGTACAGTGTTCACATCTGACCCTCAGCGACACCTGGGGGTACGTGGGCGCTCTGAGAGTGAGCCCGAACCCACAGGTGGAAACCGTGAGCCTCAGGCGGGAGGAACAAAGGCCGTGCAGCAAGGTGAGGCCGGAGCCAGGACTGGACTCGAACCCCAGCCCCAAAGGCCCAGCACAGAATGGGAATGTGAGCCTCACCCGTTTCTTTCCAGAAATTGTCTTCGCCTCCTTCCCTCTGTCTCCTTCACCCGGGATGGAGTCGCTGCAGTGGAAGCACTTTGGGGACCTTGCCGGGGGACCGGGGTCTCAGTGAATTCCCTGCCCCCCCCCCATCCCGTGCACACCGAGCACTTTCCCACACCGAGAACAGAGGGAGGGGCAGGCCTGGCCCCTCCCCACCGAGGCCAGGGTCCTGTGTCCTGCGAGGCGGTGGCGGGTGCCTGGGCCTGTAGTCACACGGGCTGTCCTCGACCTCTATGTTGCTGCTGTACTTGTCACCGGTGGCCTGTCCCTCCCTCTGGGCTGCACGCCTGGGAAGGCAGGGGCCCTGACTGGCACCATTTTGCCCTGTGGGAGCCTGGACGGTGTGGGGCAGGGAATGGGGCCTCCGTGACAGCGGTGGACGGGTGACCTGGGGCAGACGTGAGCCATGGGACCTGGCTCTGGGCACGCTGGACGTGGTGAGGGGGTGACTGTGCAAACCGCCCTTTCGGCCCGAGTCTCAGTTTCCTGCTGTCCCTGGTATGTACGTATCTCCCTGTGATCTCCCGGCCTGGCACACAGTAGGTGCTCTCCTTCCACTCCTACCTGGCGGTCCCTGTCCCTGAAGCTGTGAGGGCACAAGCAGGCGGACAGCAGGGGCAGCCTGACCCAGAGGGCAAGGGGCAGCTTCCTGCCATTCCCCTTCTCTCAGCTGTCGGGGCCGGCGGGCCGGCTCCGTGGCCCAAGGATGGAGGACAGTGAACCCACATCACCTTCCTGATCCAAAGGAGAGAGAGGCTCTGTCTGGAGCCTTAAAGCTTTGCTAGCGGGGTGCTAAGAGGGCACTGGACGTGCTTGGCAAACTGCCCAGCCCAGGAGGAGGCGGTGCCCTGCCTACGAGGGGGAGACAGCCTTCCCACCACACTTCCGGGCTGCCCATGGGGTCATCTGAACCCCTTCTAGGGGGTGGGGATGGTGGGATCATCCCACGTTTCCAAGGGGCAACCACAGGCCCAAGAGGGGACGCAGGGGCCCCAAAGTCCTCCAGCTGCCTCAACGTTTCCAAAAGGGGCAAGGAGACAGCGACACCCGTGGACACTAGCGGGGAAGCCCCAGGGAACACACACAAGGACGAGGCTGGGCAAATTTGAGCGTGCAAATGAGTAGGATGGCTGGTTTACTGGTCAGTCCCGCCCTCCCCCACTCCCTGCCCCTCTTCTCCGGGCACCGAGGCCACAGCCTGAGAGGACTCCTCCCCCGACGGCGGCTCCTCCAGCAGCTCCTCCTCGGTCAGGAGGTCCCGCGCCAGCTGCTCCAGGTGCCCCAGGCTGATCCTCCGCAGCCGCGCCTCGTGCTCCTGCCTCAGCAGCTGCAGCACCGCCTTGGCGTCCTGGGGCCCGAAGTGCTTGGCCAGGACCTGGCGCAGCTGGTGCCACAGCGGCTGGGGCTGCAGGGGCTGCAGGGGCTGCTGGGGCTGCAGGGTCTCGGCGGGTGCGGGCACCGGCACCGTCTTCTCCGGGGGCCGCATGATGACGTTGATGGAGGCATTGGGCCCGATGCAGTAGTCGGAGAGACGCTTGTCATCCGCCAGCAGCTGGCCGCGGAAGAGCAGGTGCTGCTGCTCCTCGGGCACCTGCAGCCGCTCCGACACCAGCTTCTTCAGCGTGGCCACGCTCTCCTGCCCCGACACCTGCACGCTGCATCTCCGGCCCAGGAGGAGCTTGACCGTGAGGAACATCGGTGGGGAGCAGAGTCAGGGGGGACCCATGCTCCGGTGGCTGCCCTGAGGGTGAAGGGGCCAGCAGGAGGTGGCCGCTGCTCCCGGTCAGTGACAGGTGGCGGCCCCACAAGGCCAAGAACCCAGCCCGGGCGGCAGGCATTGGCTAATGCCCAGTGATGTCACAATGGCACAGCAGAGCTCTAACTTTGGGACATTAGAGGGACATTTGGGGCAGAGAGTGTCCTTCCTCTGTGAGGGGAGAAAGGAGGAGAGGAGAAGAAAAGAGGGGGTTCAGGAGAGGAAGCAAAGGATGGAGAGGAAGAGGAGCAGGATCGGGTATGGGTGGGTCAGAAGGACAGGGCGGCGGGAGGGAACTCGGCCACATCAGTGTCCGCTCTGCCAGGGCCAGCCCTGCGGAGAGACGGCCTCGCTGTGGACACCCCTGCCCTGGGGAGGGGGCGGGGAGGGGGCTCCCGTCTGCGAGCCCTCGGCCTAGCAGTCCAGCGTCTTCCTCCGGCCACACCCTTCGCACGCTCTTCTGGACGGGCTTTCCCAGAAGCGGACCCTGGGACACAGGTTCCAGGGCACGGATTCCGCTGGGAGGCGACCCCAGGAGGCACCGGTAGGGGGTGTGGAGGCAAGCCCAGGAGGGGGGAAGCCGCCAGCTGTGCCAATGCGCAGGTTGCCTTTGGGAGCCACCGAAAGCCTTCGGTGCCCCTGGGCGCTCTGGGTGAGCTCTGCGGAGGCAGGCGCCGCCTTCACCTCCGTTCGCTAGAGAGCCGGTGGGGCAAGCCCCTCAGCGCCGGCCTCCCCCGCCCCCATGCGCTGCCTCCTGAAACACTGAGCAGGCACCCGCGGGCCAAGGTGAACGAGGGAAGGGACACTCCTGGGGACGCCGTTGTGCCGGCCACTTCCGGTGCACGGGCAGCTCTCCGTCCCACTCGACGACGGTCTCCTGGGCCAGGTCCTCACGTGGCCCGGCACAGGTGAGTGTGCGAGGACGGCGTTGTCATCTCATTTTAGAGATGGGTGAGCCTGGAGAAGACCTCGCGGATGCCCCGCAGTGGCTGGGCGGTTTGGCAGGGGTCCCCTCGGCCAGCAGCCCCCCCATCCCTCTTCCCCTCCTGCTTCCTCCTCCCCCTGCAGCCTGGACTGCACTTGAATGACGCTGTCCCCGACACCCTTGGACTTCCCAGGCCTTGCCCGTCCCCAGCCAGCGCCCACCCTGACCCCTCCCCGCCCCGCGCCAGAGTTGCTCCAACCTCCGGCCCTCTCTCCTGGCCCTGGCAGCCTCCTGGGGCACCACAGACTCAGCTGGCCCTCCCCTGCCCTGCCCTGCCGCATGGTCTCACAGTTGGCAGGCGACCCGAATCCTGGTCCAGAGAAACTAAGTTCTCGAGTCAGGAGTCCCCTAACATCCTGCCCTTCCTCCCCCCACCCGTGTGCTGCTCGGTCCAGCCGCACCTCCCGCCTCCCGGCTCCTCTCTCCCCTGCCAGCCGGTCCTCCTCTTGTTTCCGTTCTTCCTCCAACGTCTCCAGAGCCCAGAACCCACAGGCGGCTCCCTGGGGCTCAGCACCTGCAGATCCCCTCCTGTGTCCGGTCCCACCCCCATGGGCCCATTCCTGCGACAGCCAGCGTATGTCCGTCCGTCTGGCCGTCCCTCGGAGCACACGCCATCTGCTTTAATCCTCTTTGCTCTGGGAGTCCAACCCAGCTTCTCACTTCGGAGACCGGCCCCCGAAGGCGTCCTGGCCCGGCCTGCTTCCCCAGCCTTCACTCCAGCCACACCCGCCTGCCACTTCCTCTGCCTCCTCGTCTCGTTTGGACTCTTCCAGCTTCTCCTGCAAAACCCTGGTGAAAAACTGCTTCCTCGAGCCCTGGCTGGCGTAGCTCAGTGGATTGAGTACGGGCTGTGAACCAAAGCATCACAGGTTTGATTCCCAGTCAGGGCACTTGCCTGGGTTGCAGGCCAGGTCCCCAGTGGGGACCATGTGAGAGGCAACCACACATTGATTCTCTCTCTCTCTCTCTCTCTCTCCTTCTCTTCCCCTCTCTAAAAATAAATAAGTAAAATCTTAAAAAAAAAAACAACAACTGCTTCCTCCAGGAAGCTTTCCTTGCTTTCCTCAGCCCTGGACAGAGGTAATCCCCCTTCCCTCTCTACCACCGAGAGTCCTCTTGAACATCCCCGTGTGGAAGCACCCAGGGAGTGGGACGAGACCCCCAAAGGTCTCTTCCATCTTGGCATCCCCACCTCCGGCAGACGGGCCTGGTCCACAGAAGGCCGCAAAAACGTGACTGTTGAATGACGAAGACCGACACTTAGACACGCTGAGCCCTGCAGGAGAAGGCGGCTGTGGAAAGAGAGAAACCTGCCTGTCTCTCTCCCTTACCGCCACCCCCTTCTGCCCTGGAGATGAAAATCCAAAATTACATTAAAAATAAATCAGAGGGATCCCAGTCTTTACCAAAGGATCTTCTGTAGTATTCTTTAAACAGCCAACTCCCTCGGTGAATTTGGAATGAGATGGAATTTGCAAACGTGCATACAGTGCATGGGGCCCCTCGACGCCGTGGTGGCAGACGGAGCAGAGGCGAACAAGGTCTCCCTGCCGCCACCTGGGAGCTCCCGGCCTCTGGAAGAGGGGATGTGGGGTGGACAGGCCTCAGGAGGGACTTGCCTGGGGACATACCATGGGAGACGCCCAGAGCAGAGCTAATCCAGGAAGGCTTCCTGGAGGAGGGGGGTTTGAGTAATCTTCTGAAAGAGATGAAAGGAAGGTGAAATGGGACTTCTGAGGAAGAAGGGCCAGGAGCCAGAGCTCTGGGCGTGGGGGCAGCTGAGGCCCGGCCGCTCCTCCTCGGCCTGGTCTGCCCGAGACACTGGCAGGCGTGGGGAAGACGAGTCAGGCCTGGGCTTCTAGAAGCACAACTCGGGTCCCGTGTCTCCAAGGCCAGTGGCCGCTTGCAGGCAGGTAACCCTGTGACAGGCTGTGAGGGCTGCAGCTGCCGAGTCCCGCTTTTCCAAACCAGGCCCCCTGGGTCAGGGAGTCCCGTGTGCTAAGGGGCCACACGGACAAAAGCTTCAGAATTAGGGGAGCCCCAGGAAGCTGAGAGAGATGGTCACCACCTAACCCCTCCTCCATGCCTGGAGTTCACACGGCCCTCCCCAAGGGGGACAGTGGGGGCTCCTTCCCGGGCCCTCAAATCATATTTGCAGCTTGGAAATTTCATAATTTCCCCCGCGTTATTACTGCTTGTCTTAATTACGGAATTAGCATGAGAAGATGCAGTTGTGTAATCAGCCCATGCAATCAGACAATGATTGCCATAATTAGGGGGAAGATTAGCAGGAATGGGGGCCTCTGTGGCTGCAGCGGGAGCAACAGCTGTGTGCAGAGAAAGCACAGGGAGGTGGTGGGCTCGGGCCCCTCTCACCAACAAGTGCATGCACAACTGTGTCACAGAAACACGTACAACGTTGGGGGTGGGGCCGGGGTGCTTTGGGGCAGGTCTGTGAATGCGCAGCTACCTGCCGCCTTTGGCCGTGCTCCTGGGGGGGGACCGGCAGTCGGCACCCTGAGAGCGTGAGTCTCAGAGAAGCAAAGCCTGCGTCCGGCTGCCAGCCTGGGGCTCGCCTGGAGCAGGCCGGCTCCTGGAGTCTCATTGGCCTCCTCTGTCTAATGGGACTGTGGTCACTGCGCAGCACCCCCAGCAGGGCGGCTGTGAGGGCCAAAAGAAGCAGGTCATGCCCCTCAGGACCCAGCAGAGCGCCTGACCCATAAAGACCTTCAGTGCGGACTTGCACAGACTCGTACAGGTGCTCGCTGTCACTCCCAGCTGTCAGGGAAGACCCCGTGCCTGCCAAGGGGTGATGACGCCCCCAGGCCAGGACAGCCCGCTCGCACAGGTGAGCAGATCACAGCAGCCCGGAGCAGAGCTGGCCAGCCTCGGGGAGGGGGCGCCGAGGAGGGCTTGCGATGGTGGGTGGGCAGGCAGCCTGGGCTTCGAGGGGTCTCCGACCACCCCCTGGGGCTGCAAGACAGGCTCAGCAGAAAGACCTGCTATGCCCCCGACCCACCTGCCTCCCGGGCAGGGTGCCGAGCTACTGCAGTAGGGCTGGCCTTCCAGGCAGGGCTGGGGGTGAGTGGAGAGAGACACTGCGCTGGAGACAAAGCCACAAAGCCGGCCGAGGACAGACAGACACACGGAGCGGCAGGAACAGTGGACAGGGCGGGGCGGGAAGCACAGGGAGGAGGTGGGCCAGGAGACGCGTACACAGGGACTGGGTGTGGGGGGAGGAGCGGGGGGGAGGGGAGGAGAGAAGGGGCCGGGCAGGAAGGTCTACAGGACACCTGTGCCAGGAAGACAGACAAGGTGGGGTGGAGGGAAGGAGGGACAGAAAGGAATCATTCCTGGAAAAAAAAAAGTACAATATTTCTGCAGGTCCCCTGGCAAGCCAGGTCCTGCCCTGCACCACCGTCCTGCAGCCTGGGAGACAAGACAGGTGCCACACACACGGGCTGGGGCAGCTCGGAAGCCCAGCCAAGAGACGGTGTGGGACCAGACTCACCTTCTGGAAAACCTCGTGGGGCTGCATCCTGCTGTGGCCACTAGATGTCACTGGTGACCTCCCAGGCCAGCTCAGCATCTGAGGCCAGTTCCCAGCTGGGGCTCCCACCCCTTGGGGCCTGCACACCCAGGACTGGACCAGGCCCCTGCCTCACTCAGGGACCAGCCCCCTCCTCCAGCACATGCCCGTCCTCCCCTGCCCGCCCTCACGGCTGTGTTCTGAGCACAGACATCCGTGCCCCCTGCGCTGGGCACTGGGCCAGGGGCTGAGGCAGGAGGGGAGAATAGGGGACACGCCCCTCTGCTGGGGACACACACGTAAACCTGTCATCGTAGCCCGTGCACAGACTGGGTCGTGGAGGGAGGGAACCCCTGGTCGAAGGGGAAAGAGGCCGGGTCAGAGATGCTTCCCCAGGGAAGGGTCCTGAGTGGGTCAAGGAGGAGC